AAAAAAAAGGCAAAAAGTGGTTAAATAAACATAGGTGTTCTACCATTTATTTAAGTCTGCACTTACTCAAATGTTACTCAAAACATCATCAAACATATTCGCACAAGGATCAAGTAATTTAATATTAACAAGTATTGTCAAGAAATATATCACTTATTCTTTTTTAAGAAATTAAGTTTTTCTCATTTTTACTGGTTATATATTTTGGGACCAGAAAAACAAACAAACACATTTTTCCTAAGAGTATCTGTACTACTCTATTTAGTCAAAAGTGATGTTTTTCCAATTATAAGTGTTCATTTAAACAGTGAAAAGTTTCACACTGCGTTTCGTGGCTGCTAAAAAGTAGATTCTAAAACAAATGCATACAAGTAGTAGTAGTAATGAATTAGGGATGTTCGACATCTGCAATGTTGCCATTGTTGGACATATTGCATTTCTCCTACAATTGCCCTACTCTTGTTGTAATAAATATCAGTAGTCTTGGAATGGTAGCTCTTACTAACTGACAAAAAGTGTACAGTTAATCATGCATTTCTTATCCGCCAACGAAAATAGTTCCTAAAGAAGCCAAAGCCTCAAGCATAGCATTTTACCAAGAGAAATGACTGGAACTTTTTTTGCCTTTACAACACCCATATTTCTGAAATAAATATTTGCAGCACACACATGAAGCATGTTCAGAGTTCTGATCTTTTATTACATTGATGACATGCCCATAAGTGTATGGCTCACGGTCAGGATAGCAGCATTATATATATATATATAGATATATATATAGATATATATATCTATATATATATCTATATATATATATATATATATATATAGTGTAATTTCTGAATTAAATACATATATACATATAATACCACGCATACCCAAATCGATTGTAGGTGCATTGGATTAAATTATAAACTACAAAAAAAAATATACAGTTACATACGTATACTGTATAGTTGATACACACTACTCAAGTTTGCATCATAACAGAAATTTTTTGTACTTTGTACTTTTTTTCTGTAATCATGCAGACTTGAGTAGTATGCGGAAACTGTATTTTGATATTTTCTGTGGACATAAAGTAAAAAATGTAAGGCTGATATAACTGTCCTTATATCATA